TGGACTCAAGAGTGCAGACCCAGGTGCTAGTGAAAACAGGTGGTGTAACGGTGAAAAATACAAAATAACAAATAACGTAATATAGTCCAAGTACTTATACAGTCCAGGCAGGGTAGAGAGAGATTTAGAGGACCAGGACGAGCAAGTGAGTAGATTGACAGACGGCAGGAACCAAGAGAGCAGGGGGATGAGGACGGACAAGTGAAAAAAAAGTAGCAAAACAAAACCAAAGATCAACTGCACAGAGACTGTCAGCGTTGATATCGGTACCTTTTGCAAAAACGCATAAATAACGTGATAAAGGCAAGCCAAAACGCAAAGTTACTGTCAGCATAGCATTCTCGCACACATATATTTACAAGGTATTAACATAACATTTGTCACGTACTTTGGGCCTTTTAAAATAAAGGAAAGCATTTTTACATATGGCTTCCTGATGTAAAGCTATTTCAAATCAGCTTCTGTTACCGCTGTGCAATAGCCAGAAACACTGGCATTTTAATAAGATTACACTGAATCAGAAGCAAAAGCAACAAGGTAGGTTGATATATCAGAGAGTTTCAACCACGAGGCTTCAAAAACCAAAGAGGAATTTAATGAATCTGGCAAATACAGTATATGTCACATTTTAAAACTTTTTTTTTTGGTATCACGGTAAGGTAGTCAGGTGAGCATAGAGTTTTTGTGCCAAAATGGGCATACAACTTAGGCAGCGCAGGTGAGATGACAGGTCATATGGCAGGTGCAGGAAAATAAGTTGAAGAGCTGGCAAGGCTGAGGACAGAGGTAAAACTCAACTCAATTTTATTTATAGAACACTTTAACATAGCCAGAGCCAAACAAAGTGCTTAACAGAAGATTCCATTTAAAACATGTAAACATATAAACAACTACATTAATAAAAAAGAATAAAAACTATTAAAATAACTAAATCAAAATAGCACAAAGTACTATCCAAAACCAGAACCCGAACAGAGTCTCACACCATATCAAATGCCAAGGCATACAAATGGGTCTTCAAGTAAGTTTTAAAAGTGGCCAACGAGGGGGCCTGCCTAATATAGAGAGGCAGCGCATTCCATAGCCTAGGAGCCACAACGGAAAACGCT